TATTCGACGAGTTGGGGTTATGTTCTTCCCTTTAGATGTCAATGGGTCGAACTTGTAAGAGTCCCGCTGACCTCTCGGTTGGAAATGAACGTTTAACTAGCGCACCGAAAGTATTAGAATCGTTCTTGATCTTACTTAGAATTAAACAAAACAAAATGTTAAACAAACTACATTGAAGAAATATGGAGAAAGTTCTCGCAGATCTTTAGTCTACTTGCTCCAACTTCTCCACCAATAGGTGAATCTCCACCATAAAGTATTCATCGCTAGGAATCGAACACAAAGTCAAGGCTTGTGGTTGCTTCTTGAAAGAAAATCTGCAAGGACGAGAGAAGGAGACTTTTAGAGAGAATACTGGAACCGAGGAAACGTGGGATACTTTTTGGGTCAACCCAAGGGTCTTCTCTACGGCTATTTGAGGATATTTACCAAATAATATATTTGAATATCTGACATGGTAGGATATAACATCTTTCCCCAATCATATTTAAATGTCATAAGATATTCTCATATATATTTAACTAATTTAAATCTCGCTCAAATTTCAAATATATATTTTCATTCAATTATCTATATGCATGGATTATTTTAACATTTAGTATATCAAAAGCAATAAATATATTTTTCTCCTATTTGAACCCATTAACTTAAATGTATTTTTCTTTCTTTATATTTAATATATATAATATTTTAATTTGCAATTTAAGCACTCTAAATTAAATATATTTTTTCTCTTTCTTGTATTTAATGGATCTAATATGTTAAATATCAATTTGAACACTTCAAATTAAATACTTTTTCTTCTTTGAAATTTTTCTTCAACTAAATCGATCCTTTTCGTGTTACTATGAGCTGGCAAAGGAACCTTATGACCGTATTGATTATAAGCTGCAATGACGTAAAATTAATTAAATATATTCCTTAATTAATCAACTTTGTTCATTAACTACAGGCCACTCCATCGTAGACCTAGAGTTGCACCCTTATATAGTGTACAACAAGTTTTGACCATTGATATAATCGTTACAAGCTATCACGAGTTGTTCGCAATGTCTTATGCCTTAAGTGCCACTAACTCTCTCATGAACAATTTACTTATGATCAAACCATAAACCAAGTCCTTCCCGGGTCGGTGAGAGAGTGTAACTCCATTGTTCAAGTCCCGAAATCAGCACTTGAGGGAACTACTCGTCTACTTATTCTATATCGGAAAGAGTGAATTTCATGTCGTGAAATTATGTTCCCAGCTCCCTGTTTGGTCAAGTTCCCAAAACAGTAGACATATTAAATTTGCTATAAAAGTCATTCTCAACTCCCTTAGGATTGAGGTTGAGTCGCATATGGTCATCCTGTAAAATATTAATTTTCTCGATTAATGAATTTGTAAAGCGAGATAAAAAAATTTCGTGGTCCAATCTTATACAAACTCTTTGCAGTATAAGATACACCCACTCACATGTGTCAACATGAACGATTGAGATATAATCATTTGTAACAATTACAGACAGAGTCGTATCAATTATGTTATCAAGATAAGAGACCAAACCTTATCGACATACTATAGACCCTTTAGGTTGTTCTTAAACATGATTCTCTTGTATGTCAATCACATGTTGTTTAAGATTACATCAATGATCTAGGACTTTTCGTACCATGGATAATGTTAAATTTTAAATAAAATAATCAAATATATTATTAAAATTAAACAATTAATTACAAGGCTTTATGGCATGAATCTCAATGCTCTCCATGTCCAAGATATTCTGACATTGTCCCCACTTTTTATGTTACCCTAGTTTACCTCAGTGGCCTAGATCATAGATTGTAGTGTCATGGTATCCAATTATTCCGACACTTATTCCCAGCGTGCCTTTCCTGATAAGGAATTTGAGCAGGGTCGGTCTCAGTCAAGGCTCTACCTGCTCTACCCCCTCGTCAAGTACCACTTCAGATTTTAGGGCACATAATCTATCATCATGCAATAAAATCTAAGTTATTAGGTACGGTAACCAATAATAACCTAATTAGATCATAAGACGTAACTAACATATGCATATAATTCACATAAGGAGCGAGATCTTGCCTACTAACCTTACAACTTACACACCTTGTCAAGGCGAGGTGAGCTTCAGTCAAGTTGCAAGGTGTCACGGTCAGGCATTTTCAAGGCGTGTTGCTTACGGTCGCGTGTCAGATGTTCCAATGATGATGCTCGTCCAAAACGTATTGTCCACGACCGCATGCCCGTTCCAACCCCTTTACTTGCTTTCATGTTAGATTGCCATTTACTATTCTTGTTGTGTTAGTACGGGGGCATGACCTGTCCAAAAAATCATGTCTACACCCTCCATGGCTAAAATGCTCCAAAATGTACTACAGGGTGAGAAACTAGTCGTCAATTCTTCCTACGGGGTTATATGCTATAAAAGTTTAGTTGTTGCTTATTTTCTTTTAGCCTGTAACATTGTTTTCTAGAAAAAAAAAAAAAAAAAAAAAAAAGATCCTGTGTATTTTTCTCGCTTACATTTTCTAAAACACTTTCTTTCAAACATGACCAAGGCTCGATCAAACGTCCGAATTGTCTACGACTTACAATTTTCATACTGCTGGCTTGTTCATCGGGTTAGAATAACTGTCGCAAAATCGCCATCCCGCTCCACAAGAATGTGATTGTGATAAGTGGTATTACAGCCAAGTTGGCTCCTTGAATCATAGTACACAAACATGTCTGCTGCAAAACAACTGGGCATGTCTCGGGCTAGTCAATTGGTAGAGATCGAAGATTAGTTACCCTACGTAAGTCATTCCTACAAGCAGGATACTTACTAGGTATATTTATAAATTCACCCCGTTTTGTTTTCTTTTTCAGTTGTTCGCAGGTTGCAAGGTCAAGCTGGAGGAGCGTTCGAGAGCTATGCAGTCAGAGAGGGGGTCGTTGTGGAACTTCAGTCCTTCATTCCATTTTGTCAGTCTTGTCTATTTCATTTTTTTAGTTGTATCCAAGTCCATTTTCCCCTTTGTAATAAATTCGAAGTCTTGTAATTTTATTTTAATGTGGAATTGTTTAACTTAATTTTATTTTAATTTTACTGCATTTTCTTATTTTATTTTACTTATATTTTTATTTTTTTTCGCCTTCATCTTTTTACTTTCGATCCGAGGTTCGAAGTCTCAGAATTCGTGCCGTGACATCTTGGATTTTCCATACCAGCGATAATATAAAATTACGAATAAAAGAATTATTAAATAATTAATTACTGTCACAATTTAGTGCAACTTATTTTAGTTTGAATTAGTTATGGAATATATGATATTAGTAATCTTCCAGAATATATTAGTTAGGAAATATATCTTAGATATCATAATCGGTTGAATTTGAATAGTAGTATATTTTATTTTATTATGAGGATTTAGTTAGTTTATATTTTCTTGGTAGATATTATTTAGTATCTTGTATCCTATTTAAAGGTCGTGAATATCAATGAAGATAGAACATTCGATCCCAATTCTTTTCCTCATTCTTAAATCTGTATTCTTTCGTTGAGTAATAATATTTTCATATCTATGCACACTTTTGAGTGGTAGATATTGCGACAATTACAAAACTTTACGGCATAAATCCCAACAATGGGAGACTTGAAGCAGTAGGAGGAGACTATGAATCCTCCAAAAAGATGGGTAGAAATCCATGGCGAGGACTTCACAGCCACAACAACTACAATCAACGGTCCTCGTCCAGCTTCATATACGAGGTGGTCTATCGAGAATCTGAATACACACAAAAGGTGGACCTTCATGCCTTCCGAGCCAAACCGTCGAAAACCCAGCATTGGGGGTCTTAAAGTACCTATTTGCTTTCAAGAAAAGAGCTGTAGAGACAAAATTGTAAATGTCTTATGTACATTGAGGACTAGGTTAACCATAGGTCGGCCAAGAGCACAATGGTCGACCCTAGAGCTATGCACAACTTTATGATAGAGACGGAAGAAAAACACTTGAACATTCTCTAGTATAAAGATAGAAATGATGAAAGTTGTCAATGCGATACTTTTATCTACCTCAAGAGTTTTAAAGAGAACTCCGATAGGTGAGAGACGGTAAAAAAAAAGTCTTTAATGATAAAAAATTTGTTGATCCATATAAAAACGGCATATCATCGATATAGTCTATCAATGATAGACTTTGAGACTTCGAAAAGTGTAACATCCGTAAATTATTTCTTTGTGTGGTGCACTTGTAAATTTATTGGATAGTTTCAAATATGACAAACAATTTTGCTTCTCTTTGTTTGTGTGACATCTTTGCAAATAAAAAGTCACGGACTCTATATTACATCACCAACTACAAATAAAAAAGACTATGAAACCGACTCTATAGAATATTTTATTATTTTTATTATAATAGAGAATCCATATAGAATCAATATCTAAAAATATAAACACCTAAAAGTATTAGGAAATTGTTATTATTATAGTAGGAGATTGAGAAGCGGGATCAATGAAACCGATGTTAGGTTGCATGGTTCTTTAGTTGACACAAACCACTAAAATTAAACATCTTTTTTACAAAATAAACGGTGGGAAAAATGAGGGTTTTTTTTTTTTTTTTTTTGTTGGGGCTAAGATCATCCCATCCCATCCCATCCCTTTATTAGTTAAATAAAAAATAAAATCATATTGACAAAGAAAGATTTTTTAAATTCAAGGAAACTAAAAATGAGAGATGGAACGGTCCATCATTAAAATGGCAATGAGTGTCTTATCTTATAAGATAGACTTCAATTTAAAAAGGTTGGCAGGAGGCAGAGATTTACCCACGCGACATCCGTAATCAAAATTGGTTAAACCGTGTAAAAACAATAATTGTTAAATAGAACAAGAATAGGATAGTACTTGAGACGGGTAAGTTCAAATTAGAGTTGGAAGGGTAAGCATTAACCTATAAATATCACTCCAGGGCTCTTCCATTTTCCTATCACTTGCTTCCTTTTTCTCTCTCTCATGCTCATCACCAGCCCTTGTATCATTAAGTTTTCTTTCGCTCTTCTCCTAACCTTTCATGTTTTTCTTTCCCTTCTATTTCTATTTTGTAACCATGCCTTGGCTGCTGAATTAACATTCAATATTATTAGCCTTGGTGCCAAGCCCGATGGAAAGACCGATGCCTCGTCTGTGCTTCAAATGACTTGGGCTAAGGCTTGTGACTCGTCTACACCGGCCACTATTTACGTTCCCAAGGGTATATTCTACGTTCGAAGTGTGAGCTTTAATGGGCCTTGTAAGAACAATGTTATTACTGTTCTCATTGATGGAACTCTTGTGGCTTCCTCGGACATTCAAGTTTTAGCTAAGACTAAATCTTGGATTGAGTTTAGTCACATAGATGGGCTTTCCATTACTGGCGGTATTATCGATGGGCAAGGAACTGCCTTATGGAATTGTAAACACTCGGGAAAGAGTTGCCCCACTGGAGCCACGGTATGCAAAATTTGAGTTGGCTAGATAAAAAATAAAATTTGAAAGTTTTTCTTTAGCCGAAAGTTGAAAGAAAATGAGTCCATTAATTACAATATTAATTTAAATTTGTACTAATTCTTGCTTTGGATTCTTTTGAATGGACAGAGTCTTCGAATAAATGATGCACAAAACGTGAACATCAATGGATTATCTTCAATTAACAGCCAAAAGTTCAACATTGTGGTGAGTGGGTGTCAAAACGTGCATATGACAAGAGTGAATGTCTCGGCTACAGACGACAGTCCAAACACTGATGGCATCCATGTGGAACAATCATCAGATGTGACCATCCTCAACTCGAGCATTAGCAACGGCGACGACTGCATCTCAATCAGTCCAGGGACCTCCAACTTGTGGGTGGAAAGTATTACATGTGGAC